CAGCTCTGTCACAATAGTCAGGCAGCCCTGGTGCTCATGAAGGGGCTTATAGAAGGGGACTTCTTTTGTCTCTTGTCCACCATTGCAAACAAAGCTAGAGCTTTTCCCGTGGGAGCTCAACAGCGGTGTACCTATACACAGCCCTTCTGGAACACTTCAGGGTGAATGCATCCCCATAGTAGGAGCACCCTCCAGGTTCAGGCTTGCATGAGAGCTAGAGCCACAATTTCTCTTTACTTAAAACATCAATATTCCTGCAGATGAAAAGGAGATGCCTGTCTGATCTGAACAGGCAGAACGCTGGGTCAGGAGTGTGTCTCGGAGGTGGATAGCTTTCCTGCTGGCCTGGCAGGGGAGCTGAGGTGGCCCCACCCTTCTTCCTAATAAGACCTCAGTAGGTTTCACTGAGAGCTCCCCCAGCCACCTCTATTGAGGTGGGGACCTCAGCTCACCACTGGGCATTGCATTTACCCAACTGCTTTAGCTATAGTTGGTTTTTACCCATGGACACTCCTCCTATTGGCCTGAAGCCTGAATTATTCAACCCAGTAAATAAAATACAGGAGGCAAAATTAAAAGTACCTACCATGGGGGAATGAGATAAGCTACAAGAGACCTCTGTCATTCCAACCCCATAGGAGACAGTGAAGTTGCTCATACACCAAGCACATTGCTACTATAACCAGCATCTGAGAAAGCCATCATAAAAAGACTCTCTATAACTAAGGAACTCATATAGAGTCTTCACCCTTGAAAGCACCAAGACCCAAATGAGGCTATAATAAGTTATAAACATTAAAGACACATCCTTAAGGGGATGGGGAGAATATGTTTTTAAAAAATGGTCAAATCAAAACTAAATTCAAGAATATTTAGAAGAAATACTCTTTCTTCTAATTATGTAATATGACAAAACAGCATTCTGTAACACTCCCAAAAGATCACACTAACCCTCCAGCAATGGATCTAAATCATGATGAAATCTTTGAAATACCAGATAAAGAATTCAAAAGGTTGATTATTAAGCTACTCAAGGAGATACCAGAGAAAGGTGAAAACCAATATAAAGAAATCAAAAAACCAATTAGGATATGAATGAAAATTTTTTTCAAGACATAGATATCTTAAAGAAAAACCAATCAGAACTTCTGGAAATGAAAGACAAACTTAGGGAATTACAAAGTGCAATGGAAAGTTTTGACACTAGGCTAGACAAGTAGAAGAAAATTTTGGAACTTGAAGACAAGGCTTTCAAATTAACCCAATCAGACTAAAATAAAGAAAAAAGAATAAAAAGAAATGAACAAAGTCTCCAAGAAATATGGAATTATATAAAGTGGCCAAACCTAAGAATAATTGGTGTTCCTGAAGGAGAAGAGGAAGCAAAAAGTTTGGAAAATTTGTTTGAGGGAATAATTGAGGAAAACTTTCTTGGCCTTGCTAGAGATTTAGATATCCAAATACAAGAAGCTCAAAGAATCCCTGGGATATTCACTGCAAAAAGGTCATCATCAAGGCATATAGTCATCAGGCTACCCAAAGTCAACATGAAGGAAAGAATTCTAAGAGAAGGAGACAAAAAGTCAGATAATGTTTACATAATAACCTATCAGAGTAACAGTTGAGTTCTCAGCAGAAACCTTACAAATCAGAAGGGATTGGGCTCCTATCTTTAACAGAATAACTGTCAGCCAAGAATTTTGTATCCAGCAAAACTAAATTTCATAAATGAAAGAGAAATAAAGTCATTTTAAGACAAACAAATGCTGAGGGAATTTGTCACTACCAGACCAGCCCTGGAAGAAATGGTAAAAGGAATTCTAAATCTTGAAGCAAAATCTCACTATGCACCAAACTGAACCTCTTGAAGGCATAAAATTCACAGTGTCTGTGAAACAATAATATAATGAGAAAAATTAAGTACCTAGGTAACAATTAATATGATGAGTGGAACAACACCTCACATCTCAATATTCAAGTTGAACTTAAGTGGCCTAAATGCTCCACCTAAAAAATACAGATTGGCAGAATGAATAGAAATTACAAGCTGAATATCTGCTATCTTCAAGAGACTCACCTAACATGTAAAAATTCATATAAATTCAAGATAAAGGAGGCGGAAAAAGATATTCCATGCAAATGGAAACCAAAAGTGAGCAGGAGTATCTATTTTTATATCAGACAAACAGACTTTTAAGTAGCAATAGTAAAAAAATACAGAGAATGTCATTATATAATGATAAAAGGATCAATACAACAAGAAGATATTACAATCCTAAATTTATGTGCACCAACGTGGAGCTCCCAGATTTATTAAACAATTAATGTCAGGCCTAAGAAATGAGACAGAGAGCAACACAATAATAGTAAGGGACTTCAGTACTCCACTGATAGCACTAGACAGATCATCAAGACAGAAACTCAACAAAGAAACAATGGACTTAAACTACGATCTAGGGCAAATGGACCTAACAGATATTTACAGAATATTCTATCCAAGAACTGCCGAATATGCATTCTTCTCATCAGCTCATGGATCATTCTCCAAGATAGACCATATGGTAAGCCACAAAATAAGTCTCAATAAATTTTTAAAAATTGAAATCATTTCAAGTATCTTCTCAGACCACAGTGGAATAAAACTAGAAATCAAGTTTAAAAGGATTCTCAAAATTATACTAATACATGGAAATTAAACAGTCTGCTCCTGAATGATTTTTGGGTTAACAAATCAAGATGGAAATTTAAAAATTATTAGAAATGAATGATAACTTCTGGGATACAGCAAAAGCACTGCTAAGAGGAAAGTTTATAGTGCGAAATGCCTACATCAAAAAGTCTGAAAGATCACAAATTGACAACTTAATGTCACACTGCAAGGAACTAGAAAAACAAGAACAAACTAAACCCAAAACTGGCATTAAAAAAAAGATCAGAGTAGAATTAAATGAAATTGAAACAAACAAAATACAAAAGATCAATAAACCAAAATGCTGATTCTTTAAAAAGATAAACAAATTGATAGAACATTAGCTAGACTAACCAAGAAAAGAAGAGAGAAGATTCAAATAAGCTCAATTAGAAATGAAGAAATGAAACTGGAGACATGACAACCAACAGCACAGAAATACAAAAGATCATTCAAGACTACTATGAACACCTCTATGCACACAAACCAGAAAACCTAGAGGAAATGAATAAATTCCTGGAAACATACAACCCTCCTAGATTAAATCAGGGAAAAAAACCCCAGAAACTCTGAATAGACCAATAACAAGCAGTGAGATTAAATCAGTAGTAAAAAAAATTTCAACAAGAAAAATCCCAGGGCCAGATGGATTCACAGCCGAATTCTATCAGACATTCAAAGAAGAATTGATACCAATCCTGCTGAAACTATTACACAAGTTTGAGGAAGAGGGAATCCTCCCTAATTCATTCTATGAATCCAGTATCCCCTTGATACCAAAACCAGGAAAGAACATAGAAAGAAGAGAAAAAAAGAAAAAGGAAAAGAGAAAGAAGACAGCAGGGAAGAGGAGGGGACAGGAGGGGAGGGGAGGGGACAGGAGGGGAGGGGAGGGGACAGGAGGGGAGGGGAGAGAATGGGAAGGGAGGAAGGGAAAACAGGTCAATATCTCTGATGAACACAGATGCAAAAATCCTCAATAGAATACTAGCTAAAAGGATCCAACAGTACATCAAAAAGATAATACATCATGATCAAGTGGGTTTCATCCTAGGGATATAGGGATGGTTTAACATATGCAAGTCAATAAATGTGATACATCACATAAACAGAATTGAAAACAAAAACCATATGATTATTTCAATAGATACAGAAAAAAGCATTCAATAAAATCAAAGCATCCTTTTATGGTAAAAACCCTCCACAAACTAGGCATAGAAGGGACTTACCTCAAAATAATAAACCATATATGACAAACCCACAGCCAACATCATACTGAATGGGGAAAAGTTGAAAGCATTCCCCCTGAGAACTGGAATAAGACAGGAATGCTCATTTTCACCACTTCTATTCAATATAGTACTGGAAATCCTAGCCAGAGCAATCGGACAAGGTAAAAAAAATAAAAGGCATCAAAATTGAAAAAGAGGAAGTAAAACCATCGCTGTTCACTGATGATATGATCATATACCTAGAAAATCCTAAAGACTCCTCCAAAGGACTCCTAGATTTGATAAATGAATTCAGTAAAGTCTCAGGTTACAAAATCAATGTACATAAATCAGTAGTACTGCTATACACCAACTACGGCCAAGCTGAGAATCAGATCGAGAACTCAACCCCTTTACAACAACTGCAAAAAAAATAAAATACCTAGAAATATACTTAACCAAGGAAGTAAAAGATCTATACAAGAGAACTACAAAACACTGCTGAAAGAAATCATAGATGGCAAAAACAAATGGAAGCACATCCTATGCTCATGGCTTGGGAGAATCAATATTGTGAAAATGACCATACTGCTCAAAGCAATCTACAGATTCACTGCAATTCCCATCAAAATATCAACAACATTGTTCCCAGAATTAGAAAAAGAAATCCTAAAATTCCTATGGAACCAAAAAAAGAGTCCACATAGCCAAAACAATACTAAACAAAAAAAAAAAACAAATCTGGAGACACCACATTACCAGACTTCAAATTATGCTACAAGGCTATAGTTACCAAAATAGCATGGTACTAGTATAAAAGTAGGCACGTAGACCAATAGAACAGAATAGAGAACCCAGAAATAAAGCCAAATACTTAAAACCAACTGATCTTCAATAAAGCATGCAAAAACATGAATGGGGGAAAAGACACCCTATTTAATAGTGTTGGGAAAACTGGCTAGCAACATGTAGAAGAATGAAACTGGATCCCTATCTCTCACCTAACACAAAAATCAATTAAAGACAGATCAAAGACTTAAACCTAAGACCTGAAACCATAAAATTCTAAAAGATAACTTGCAAAAAACTTTTTTTGCAAGTTTTTTTTTTTTTTTTTTCCTTTTTAAATGCTTTTAATGCACTTCAGATGGTGAGAGGTTGCTGTGATGGTCAGAGGCTGTGCTGGTGGTCGGAACACCCCACGCCTGCCCCCCACACCTCTTCCTCCAGGAGATACTTGAAAGGGACCATGCCCTGCCGAAGCCCTGTCTCGTATGGAAGAATGTCATCTCCAGTGTCTGCCGCCGCCTCCCCGCAAAGTCTCCCACAAGCACAGGAGAAGGGGTGCTTCCAGCATCTCCTAGGAACTGACGACATGTCCGGACCAGGTCTTATGCTTGGTGCCTGGTGCCAGGTGGGTGGTAACGACCTCCACAGCCTGCAGCTTCTCATTCTTGGGCGGGATGGAGCACATCTTATAGGTGACCTCGTCGCCTTCCACTGGGACATACTCCCCTTCCACATCAGAGATGTCCAGGAAGATGTCGGGGCCACTATCAGCTGGGGTAATGAAGCCGTGGCCCTTGGATCGGCAGAAGCATTTGCAGACTCCTTTGTAGACGGGGCCCTGTGAAGCCCGCACCGGCGCTGAGAAGGTCCTCGTCCGGCGAGTGGGCAGTGGGCTTGGGACCACGTTGCCCCGCAGAGGGGAAGGTGAGCGCCCGCGGGTCCGAGGGGTGTCCAGCAGCCCGACTGAAGCTTGATGGGTAGGGGGCTGTGGTGGTGGGGGAGGCTCAGATGACATGGCTGACCTCGCGATCCGTTCTGCTCCGCCAGTTGCTTCGCTCGGACTCGAAAAACTCTTTTAGACACTGACCTAGACAAATAATTTATGACTAAATCCCCAAAAGTAAATACAACAAAAACAAAAATAAACAAATGAGACCTATTTAAACTAAAAAGCTTCTGCACAGCAAAAGAGATTATCGGCAGAGTAAAGAGATAACCCACAGAATGGAGAAAATATTTGCAAACTATGCATATGGCAAAGGGCTAGTATTCAAAATCCACAAGAATCTCAAACAAATTTGATTCAAATAAATCAGCAAGAAAAAAATGCAATAATTCCATCCAAAATGGGCAGATGACATGAATAGACATTTCTCAAAAGAAAACATACAAATGGCCAAGAAACATGAAAAAAAATCTCAACATCACTAATCATCAGGGAAATGCAAATTAAAATTACAGTGAACTATCTCCTTACCCTAGTCAGAATGACCATTATTAAAAAGTGAAAAAACAATAGGTGTCGGTGTGCATGTGGTGAAAAGGGAAGGCTTATACGCTGCTTGTGGGAATGTGAATTAGTACAACCTCTACAGAAAACAGTTTACAGATTTCTTAAAGAACTAAAAGTAGATCTACCATTTGTTCCAGCAATCCCACTACTGGGTATCTACGTATCTACCTAAAGGAAAAGAAGTTATTATATTAAAGAGACGCAAGTATATGTATGTTTATTGCAGCATAATTTACAATTGCAAAGATCTGGAACCAACCTAAGGGCCCGCCAACCAATGAGTGGATAAAGAAAACGTGATATTTGGATATTTGTGGAGAAATAGGAACACTTTTACACCGTTGGTGGTAATGTAAATTAGTTCAACCATTGTGGAAGATGGTGTGGCAATTCCTCAAAGATCTAGAAGCAGAAATGCCATTAGACCCAGCAATTCCATTATTGAGTATACCCAAAGGAATATAACCCATTCTATTACAAAGATACATGGATGCGTATATTCATTGCAGCACTACTCACAATAGCGAAGACATGGAATCTACCCAAATGTCCATCAATGATAGACTAGATAAAGAAAATGTGGTACATATACACCATGGGATACTATGCAGCCATGAAAAAGGAATGAGATCATGTCCTTTGTGGGGACATGGATAGAGCTGGAAGCCACTGTTCTCAGCAAACTAACACAGTAACAGAAAACCAAACACCGCATGTTCTTACTTACAGATGGGAGCTAAGCAATGAGAACAGATGGACACAGGGAGGGTAACAACACACGCTGGGGCCTCCTGGGGGATGTGGTGGGAGAGGGAGAGCATAAGGAAAAACAGCTAATGCATGCTGGGCTTAATACCTAGATGATGGGTTGATAGGTGCAGCAAACCACCATGGCACATGTTTACCTAGGTAACAAACCTGCACATGCTGCACATGTACCCCAAAACTTAAAATAAAAATTAAAATTAAAAAAAGAAAATGTGATATATATACACCATGCAATACTTCTCAGTCATAAAAAGGAACAAAATAATGTCTTTCGCAGCACTTGGATGGACCTGGAGGCCATTATTCTAAGTGAAGTGATTCAGGAATGGAAAACTAAAAACTGCATGTTCTTACTTATCAGTGGGAGCTAAGCTATGAGTATGCAAAGGCATACAGAGTGGTATAATGGGCTTTGGAGGCTCAGAAACGGGAGGTTGGGTGGGGGGGGGTGAGGGATAAAAGCTACATATTGGGGGCCAGTCACGGTGGCTCATGCCTGTAATACCAGCACTTTGCGAGGCCGAGGTGGGTGGATGACGAGGTCAGGATATCGAGACCATCCTGGCTGATACGGTGAAACCCCAATTCTACTAAAGTACAAAAAATTAGCCGGGCGTGGTGGCATGTGCCTGTAGACCCAGCTACTCGGGAGGCTGAGGCAGAAGAATCGCTTGAACCTGGGAGGCGGAGATTGCAGTGAGCCGAGATCACACCACTGCACTCCATACTTGCAACAGAGTAAGGCTCCATCTCAAAAAACAAAAACAAACAAAAAACCACTACATATTGGGTACAATGTACACTACTCAGGTGATGGGTGCACTGAAATCTCATAATTCACTACTATATAATTCATTGATGTAACCAAAAACCAATTGTACCCCAAAAGCTATTGAAATAAAAAATGTTTTTTTTAAAAGAGATGCCTATATTTCCACTGCCTTGAGATAAATCAATTTGATCTTTTCTCTTGTGGAATTAATAATTAAGATACAAGTGATTAGAGGTGGGATAGAAGCTACGGATACATGGAAAGACACAGAGACAGAGAAAGAACCACGATGTTGGCGGTGCACTAGAAAAGGGTCTAATAACTCACTGCTGAAGAAATTTAGATCCTCTCCACTCAAAGTGTGGTCCAAGACCAGCAGCATCAGCATCACCATGAGCTTGTGGGAAATGCAGACTATCTGGCCAAATCTCAGACTTACTGAATCAGAATCTGCATTTTAACATGATCCCCAGGTAATTTGCACATTGGAGTTTGGAAATCACTGGTCTGGATGTTCTGGATGTTCAGCTGTGTTGGCTCCTGAAAAACCTTTGTGAGCCCTGATTGTGTGCTGTGTCTTTGGTATTTCCATGAGTTCTGGTCCGAATTCAAGAAGTTAATCAACTGAAGAGCTGAGAATCAAACCGGAGTTTGACTCCTAGTCCATCAGGTTAACTGGCATATTATCTGATAGCTGTGATTACAGGTGCTTGCCACGATGCCCAGCTGATTTTTGTATTTTTAGTAGAGACGGGGTTTCACCATGTGGGCCAGGCTGGTTTTTTTTTGTTTTTTGTTTTTTGTTTTTTTCCTTTTTTCTTTGAGACAATATATTGCTCTGTTGCCCAGGCTGGAGTGTAGTGGCACAATCATGGGTCACTGAAGCCTCAGCCTCCCAGGCTCAAGTGATTCTTCTACCTCAGCCTCCTGAGTAGCTGGGATCATGGGTCCACACCACCACATCTGGCTAATTTTTGTTTGTTTTGGTAGAAATGGAGTCTCACTCTGTTGCCCAGACTGGTCTCAAACTCCTGGGGTCAAGAGATCCTCCTGCCTTAGCCTCCCAGAGTGCTGCAATTACAGGTGTGAGCCACCACACCTGGCCAAGTTTTACTATCTTTTCCTATAGACTTTACATATTTTAATAGAAATTTTTCATTTCTTTCCAAGCAGCTTTTAATGCTACTTTGAACTATTCTTTGTCCTTTACACTATTTAAGATCATTCTTACAAATAGATCTCATGTTACCTTAAACAATTTATTTCTTCTGATTGTGCTTGATTATTGGCCTTTAGCATACTAGGAAAATACAAGAGTCAAGTCCTAGAAAAGGCTACAGAGAAACTATAGAAAATGGATATACAGTGTCTGAAATGAAAGCTCAGAAGGTCCCTTTAGGTGGGAGACTCAGAGCTCAGGTAGATCAAGTTTTTTATCATAACTTTGCTAATCACTTTTGGATATGAGACACGAAGACAATGTTGGGAGCCACTAGATCAGTGGTTTATAAACTTTGCTGCACATTAGGATGAGCTTAGAGCTTATAAACCTCCCCATGCCCTGCTCACATTGCACCCTTGCCAATTAAGTCAGCTGGCTGGGGATGGGGGCCAGGCATCAGTAGTTTTTAGAGATTCCCAGGTGATTCCAATATGTGGCACAGATGAGAACCAACATAGCAAATGATGCATTACTTAATATAGCAATGATAAGCTCCTGGTTTAACTGTTGAATAAACCCATCATTGAGTTTGCCAACACTGAGTTTCTTTGCTTCGAGTGAGGTACATGTGTAAAGTATGTGATACTTATTCTTACTTTTTAGATCTTATTCTAATAGATAATAGAATAATAGATCTTAATCATATCTATTAGATCTTATTCTAATAGATAATAATTATTCTTTCTTTCTGTGTGTGAGAAAATGGAGAATTGGAGGCCCCACTCCAAAATTACTAGATCAGAATTTGCAATGAAATAAGGTCCCCAGTTGATACTCTCACACACTAAGATCTGAGATGCTTGTCTGCCTCTCCCTCCAGGCTGTAACTCCTGGAAAGCCTGGACTACACCAGACCATCCTTGTTTCCCAGTGGGGCCTAATAGTGCCTTGCCGATGGAAGAGCTTAAGAATTGTTGACAGAATTGAATCAATAGTGAGTGCACTGCTGGCTCAATGTCAAAGGATGGGATGCTAAGGGCATTGTTAGTACCAAAGAGAGCATAAACATTTCTTAAATTGCTTCCAGAGCAGCTAGTTCTTGTTTAGGTGACAGACTCCTTTGAGAATTTAATGAAAGCTAAGGGCCACTTTTCTGTCTTTACAAAATTCTGCATACAGGTGGTTCATATATTCTCCAGACGCCCATAACATGGATTCCCTATGTCCATGGCAGATAAAATTTGGGTCTAAAGTAGTTACTGAAAACTTGAGTCATATATGCATCTTTCCATCATCTTCAGAACAGACAGAGGGTGGAGCAGGATATTTAAAAAGTACTGAAGACAGTTTAATTAAAAAGGCTAACCTGAAAATAGTTTTACGAGGACATGGCAAAGATATTTATGTAGGCTTTTACACACAAGTCTCAAAGAAATGCTTTGACTAGCACTTTGGTTTTCTTCTTTCTTTGTACTGTGAATTTCTTTAGTAACTTCCTTTTAACTTAAAGTAAATCTATCATCTAGAATGACCGTGAACTTTAATAGAAGAAGAAAAATCATAACTATTACCACAAATACCCAAACCCAGTCTAAAATAGATCAGGCAGTCTGTATAGAAAAAAGAAATGGAAAAGTTTGCTTGCATGGGCTCCACACCCAGGCAATCAGTTCAATTATTGAGGCATAAAGCAGAAGGAGGAAAAAACATGATGTCAAATGCTACTGTAATATATGCGCCTGGGAGTGGGATTGGCAAAGACTTATAAATTGGGCTTGGCCCACAAACAGAATTTAGCTGAGATTGACAGTAAAAACATTTTCTACAGTTTTGCTGCCTTTGGTAATTTGAATT